CGGGGGTGGGGAGGTAAGGGTTAGGGTTAACTAATGAGCCCAGGCTTATCAGTTAACTGTGTACTAGGGTACATGCTCACATCCCTAGTTAGAATACTACTAGATAAAAGAATCCTGAGGCAAAAGTGGACACTCTTCTCTCTGTATTTAAATATGAAAGTGACATTTTATGAATACTAAAGATAAATACTTACTATATCCCAAAATAACTTAGCAGTTCTAAGCTTACACCCTCACAGGACCCATGAATCTGTTCACGACTTGTAGGCGTAAAAATATTATTTTCCTATAGATTGTACCCATTTCTATTTTAAATTGTTAATATTTTATGTATAGGAATAGAATTATACATGTCTGTTTCATCATTTGTAAGATTTGGTAATATTGGTTAATTGCTTGAGTCAGGAAGAATTGTTTTCCTGTTTGCCACAAAAATGGTGGCTGTATATTTTTTCTAACTAGTGTGTGTTATGAGAATAAAAGATTAAATCCAGAGAACATTGCTCTATATTTTGAATAGTTTAATGTATATATTATGCCTAAACCAGAGGTTCTCACACTTAATTGCACAGTGACCCCTTTTTGATGATAAATTACTACATGACCCAAGGAGGGCAGACTGAAGCCTGAGCTATGATACTCCAGGTGGCGGGGGAAAGGAGGAACCAAAGCCTGAGCACTATCACCCCTCGTGCTGGTAGAGGCCCAAGTCCAGGGCTTTAGCCCCAGCCAGGGGAGTCTGTAACCTGAACCCTATCACCCAAGTCTGAAATCATTTTGGCTTAGACTTGCTGGTGCCCAGAACCAAAGCCAGCTTTGGCAACCCTATCATAACAGGGTCACAGTGCACTTTGTGGTCCTGACCAGCAGTTTCAGAATCCACGCCTAGGCTACAAAAGTGCCCACACAGGTGTTTTGTTAGTTTTTGTAGTTCAGGTCTACAACTTTCTATTTAATGTCTGCAACTATTTTTAAATTTAAAAACTCTGAGGAGTTACCATGTTAGTCTGTAACTTTAAAAATAATGAATAGTCCTGTGGCACCTTAGACTAACAAAAATATATATAGTATTATGAGCTTTCATGGACAAAAACTCTTCAGATGATCTTGAGGGAGTCTATTGCACATCTGGGATTAGAAATTCATGACTCAACTCCAGTGTTTCATCCCTTTTACATCTGTGGACCTAGAAATTGATTCAGATCATCTGTGCACAAACTCAATTTGGTTGAGGGAGAAGGAAACTAGCTTCACTTTTACCTTGGATGAATTTGATGTATTTAATAAATTGTTTTTCCTAATAGAAAATGCCTGAATCAACGGAAGATCATATCCACTGGAAAGCTTATTGAACTCCATTCTTGAGAATCCCAGAACAACATCAGTCTGGCATGGCGCAGGGGAGTCAGCAACTTGATGTGCAGGTACTCCATGACCTTCGGCAACGTTTTCCCGAAATCCCAGAAGGTGTGGTGTCTCAGTGCATGCTCCAGGTATGCTGCAGAAGAATAAAATAGCATAGTAACAGTTACAGTATATCTATCATTATGGCATAAAACTAACCTCCTTGTAATAGACTAGTTAGAAATCAGTTCAGTTTCATATGGGGGTAGGGACATGACCTTCCTCTTTGCCAGCTCCAATTGCAGTCCTTTTCCCCCCAAGCACTACATAGCAAAATGGGAATACAACTTAACCATAGGAATGCTCCAGCAGTTTTATTGTTGCTGAAATTACTGCATACAATATCTCCACCCATCATAGCTCTGAGCTGATTTTAGACAAGAAGTAAAGGACATTCTTTTAATATAGAACTGTGTACTCTGACAGTAATTTCTTGTGTACTGGGAAGTTGATGTTCTTCAAATGATTGCTCATGTGCATTCCAATTTAGGTGTGTGCGTGCCATGTGCACAGTTGCCAGGAAGTTTTTCCTTAGCTAAATACTGTAGATTGGCAGGGGAGACCCCTAGAGTGGCGCCAGTATGGCTAGGTATATAGCAGCCTGCTGACCGCCTCCTCCCTCAGTTACTACTTACCACTAGTGATGGTTGTCAGAGCTAACGTCGCTTACCTCAGGCAAGTGTGCTTTTCCTAGTTGCTTTGTAGTTAGTTTTTTCTAAAGTGTTAAGTAGTTAAGTTCGCAGTGGGAACTCTGGTTTTCCACACTTGGCTGGGCATGCTTCAGCTCCCTGGCTTCAAGCAGTGCAGATGGTGCACAAAGTTTATGCCCACTGGCGATCTGCACTACCCAAAGTGTTTGGGAGTGGCCCACTTAGCAGACAAGTATGAGGTCTGTAACACTTTTACGTCAGAACTAGAAGACACAGAGTTTTGCCTCCAAAGCCTGTTAATGGAGGCACCTTAGGAGCCCCACAGGACCAGAAACGACAGCCTCTGTGTGCCTTCTTTAGTGCGGATTGTGCTGGCTCTGAGGAAGGAAGTGGACAAGACACCCCAAGGCACTGTTGTTCACCGAAGCCTAGCTCTTAGCACCAATCCTGTTCTCCTGTGCAGAAGAAGCAGAGGTGGGAAAGGGGATGGTCCCTTATTGCCACAGCTTAATAGGCTTAAAAGACTGCGTCCTGATCTGGCACACCTTTGGAAACAACCCACTGGTACTGTCGAGTCAGTGCAAGTGGACTCTGTCTCGGAGAGCCAGATGGGAGATGTGGAAATGCCATCTGCTCCCGAAACCTATGAGACTTCCTGAGACCTGATCGAGCTAACATCTGACTGGTCAGTGTCCCTCCGTGAATCTCTGATTTCACCAGCACCGTCACTGGTACCAGGCCCAGTACAGTCAAGGGGAAAGCCTCCAGTGTTACAAAGGTCCCTTTCACCTTGGAACTGATATGGTGTGGACTCCTGTACAAGGTGGAGTCCTCACGGGCAGCACAGGTCAATCAGCAGGGGTGGTTCCCTTCGGCATCGATTCCAGGAGGTGTCCGGTACAAGGTGTAGTCTTCCCAGTGACCTTACACTTGTGCAGAGGCTACCAGCATGGTACCACTTCTCCATAGTCTCCACATTCCACATCCATGTCAGAGTTGGAACCAGAGGACCACCAGTCCAAGACGAGGTGCTGCTCAGCACAGGTCCCTTCAAAGAGAGGACAGGAGTTGACCCTACAGCGGCCTCCTCAGTGGCAGGGCCCCGCCCCCGCGGCGTGGCTGTTCTGGACTCGCTGGGCAAGCTGGAGGTTCCAGGTAGGTCTCTGTTGCTTTGTCAGCTCTGGGTCGAGACCGTGCTGTAGGGGTACGGTTGTCTCAGACTGTCAGGGTGACAGATTCCAGCTACACAGCCATTCAGGGCACTGGTGGAGTCCCATTCAGTACTGAGCTGCCAGTCAGGACATGCATAGGCTCACCGGTCTGGGGAGGATCAATGACACCAGGTTCCAGGGATGTCTCTGTGCCCAGTGCTGCCTAGTTCACAACACTCCAATGCTGGTGGTCAAGGGCATGTGCCTGCGGTCCTAGTCCTGGAGGTGGAGCAGGAAGAAGTCGACCATGTCACCCACACAAGTCTAAGAGTTTGTAGGGGCATGTTCGGGCTCCCTGGCAGCCAGGACATCCCACCCCAGCCCATTTCGGGAGCATGTACAGACTGATTCAGATCTGGGGACCCACCCATTTAGGACAGCCAGGACTTGCTTGCTGTTGGGACACATGGCTTCCTGTACCCATGTTGTCCCTCTTGCCAGACTTCGACTCCGCTCCCTACAAATGTGGTAGGCCGGGGTGGACAAGCCATCTTGTCTCCATCTGGACAGTATTAACTCTTCCCCCCCCCACCCCCACCTTGGCGGTGATGTAGGTTCTTCATTGGTGGCTTGACCCTCCATGTGTTCTGTTTCATGCCCCTCGGCCCATCTAACCTGGCTTTGGTTAGGTGCCTCAGACTTGGTATGGGGTGCTCATCTGGGCGGACTCAAGACTTGGAGTGTCTGGTCTCGAACAGAATTTGCAATGCATATCAATGTAAAGGAACTCAGGGCTGTCTGATTGGCCTGTCTGGCCTTTTTGGGCGAAATAAGGGAGAAGTGTTTGTTTGCCTCCTTGCATAGGGAAATAGTGACCACCACCTTATCTATTGATATAAAACATCACTGTGGTGTTGTCCCTGCAGTGTCGCTGTGGGAGATGAGCATACACGATGAGACGCATCTACTGATCTCATACCTGCCAGGGTCTCAGAACTTGGTACCTGGCAGATAACTTCAGCCGCTTGTTTCAAATGCACAAGTGGGATGTTGCACAAGGCCTTTTCCAAATGTGGGGGCATCCCGTCTCGACCTGTTTGCTGCTAGGTGGAACAGAAAGTGCCAGGCCTTCTGTTCTTACTGGTGCGGCAACAGGGGCTCCTTGGCTGATGCTTTCCAAATTCATTGGAAGAAGGGCCTATTGTATTCATTTTCCCCCATTTCCCTTGATTCCCAAGGTCCGTGAGGAAGGTGCAGACCTTTTGATAGCACCACCCTGGCCCAGGCAACATGGGTACATGAGGGTCTGTCAGCTCTCGGTAATGCCCCCGTTTCCCTTTCCCTTGTTCCCAGACTTCTTGTCCCAGAATTGCGGCATGTTTCTGCACCCCGGCCTCCAAGCTTTGCACCATGGAGGTTCCATGGTTGAGCGTATTATAGCAACAGTGCTCGGAGGGGGTCAGGGAAGTGGTGGTAGGAAGTCTTCAACCTGGTCTACTATGTATTCAAGTGGAAGAGGTTTGCTTTGTGGGCCTTACAAATGAGCACCCAGCTGTTGCAGGCTTTAGTTACCTTAATTTTGGAATTCCTTATTGGGGCTAAAACAGGGGTTGGCCACTTCGTCAATTAAGGTGCATTTGGCCACAATATCTATATTCCATCCCAAGTCATAGGACTGTTCGGTATTTGTGGATTGCTTGATAAGCTCATTCCGTAAGGGCTTGGATAGATTGTACCCTCACGTGAGGGAACTAGTACTTCAATGGGATTTATACCTGTTCTTATCTAAGTTAATGGCTCCTCCATTCAAGCCATTAGCTGCTTGTTCTTTATTATATTTGTCAATGAAAGTTGTGTGTTTGGTTACTATTATTGGTATCCAGCTAGGGAAAATCTTAATGGCAACTATGCACATGGCGCACACGCACCCCTAAATTGGAAAGAGGAGGAGCAACACATCTTGAAGAACACCAGTTACAAAAGGCAACAGTCTATTTCTAGGATTAACCATATTGAACTACCAGATGTATAAGCTGACAAAGCTATAGGATCTCTCTGAAGTACAGTATCCAGACACTCAGAGGACATTTGAACAGTGTTCTTTTTAATGTATTGTATTCCAACAGTCTTTTAAGTATATCAAAGTTATCCAAGACCACGTCCACACTAGAAGCACTTCATTAATATGATCTCAGGGAGTAGCTATATTAGTCTCTAACTTTAAAAATAACAAGGGGTGTGTGTGTGTGTGTGTTTATAGAAAGAAAGTATGAGTTTTTGTGGGCTAAACTTACTTTATTCAGATGAGCTTGAATGCAGAAGGGAAAAAAAACTAATATGGGAATATTGCTCTGCTGCACGGCAAAACACTTCCTAGGTATAGTTGCAGGTATGGTCACTGCTCTTTGTACCTGTATAGCAAAACTACCCTGTATGATTGAAGGAAGCTATGCCTGTAAAACACAGCTGGTGTACCTATGCCTACGCCTGGGACTTTTGCCTGCACATCTGTGTCAGTCAGGGATCTCAGTTCTTCATAGCACTGAGAAACATAGTTTTTACAGCACAAGTCCCTAGTGTAGAATGGGCACAAGGCTGTGCAATATCTGAGTTAAAAAGGAAAATGAACCAAGAATAGTCATAGGCTTACCTTTACACTGTGTGTTCCAGTTATTTAAAACTATGTCTTGCATACACCAAAAAGTTGAGGTCTTTCTAGATAGGTGAGAGAATATTCCATGGGATATCACCAAGCTGCTGTCATTCCCCTCTCGTCTTTGTCATGTTATGCTACTTGAGGGCATCATGGACTCATACTGCTTTCTGTGTAGGACTGATTTCTGGTATCTGCTGTTGCTCTGTTGCATTTCTCTAATTATGGGGATGGAACACTGGGATCCTGCTTTAATTTTGTACTCCCTGTCACTTAGGCTTGCTGGGGAGGAGGGGAAATGTGTGTAGTTGACAAGATTAACCAATAAGCTTATCGGTTAATCGTATAGTAAACTATACATTGACCTCTCTAGTTTAGATCTGTTTTCCCTCTAAGCTGCATGGCAGCACAACCCCACAGTTGCTTAATGAGACCCACCCAGCTAGGGACTCAAGACTCACACACACACAGCTGCCTGGCAGGAGAAGGGACACTTTCGTTGCTGATGGGGAAGTGCCCTTCCCTCTACCAGGCAGCTCGTGCATGAGACTTGAACCCCTCATTGGGTGGGGCTTATTAAGCAGCAGCATGGTTGTGCTGCCACACAGCTTACAGGGAACGCTAGTTTGGATACGAGACTGAATCCCATTTGTGGGGGGAGAGGGGGAGGGTTTTGTTCTGGAAATGTGAAAAATATCTAAGCTTTCTCTGAAATAGCATAGAAATCACATTTCCTTAATCTTGAGTGACTATCTGGGGTGTCATTATCTTGAGCCAGAATATTAGGACTGATTTGGCCATAACTAAAATAGCGGGGAAAGTCTGTTTTCGTTTTGACTCAAAACACGTACTTGGCATACATTCAGGTGCAGGGTGCGCAGCAGAAATTACACGTCTCCTGAACTTTGAAGGGGTTTGGATTATTCATTCTTCTGAAAGTGGCACAAGTTTTTTTCAGTTTTATTTATTTTAAAGAAAATGTCGGAGTTGAAGATGCAGTGTAAGAATATAAAGAGTCTTGGAAAATGGCTATTTCCAAAAAATTTGAAAATTCTAAAAGGTCTTTTATCACTTGGCCAGTGTAGAATTTATGGGTGTGGGTTTTTTTAACTTTTTGTTGCTGTTAAATGGGTCTTATAAATTGTCATAGGTAAGTACACTGTTTCAGCGTCCTTATTTGGATTTAGAAGTTACGTTTCTCTAGCTTGCTTGACAACCAAACCAGTAAGAGAATAATTTGGGCAAAATGTTTGAGTTCCTTTTTTAAATTGCCGGAGAATATTGGTACAGTTTATCTTTATAAACCATTCTTCTGAAAACAGATTTCAATCTGCATTGCTGACATTGAAATACTACTATGCACCATTTTCAGACTATTTGTAAGTAGCTTTTAAACTCTATTTAGAAAATATTGCCCAAGCATCTGAATAGTGAAACATCTGTCCTAGTTAGCATTTGTGGCTGTTTACTACTTCAAAACTATTTTCTAGGGGGAATAATGAAAACATTACATTGAATTGTATTACACAAAGGAATAAAGGACAAAATGCAGGACTACCTATTGCATGGCTCAAGGAAAACTAGACAGAATACATTTGAACGATGAACACTTGTAAAATAAAGTGAATTTTTTAATGCTGAGCTTTGATTTGTCTTCCATTAGCTTCTATTTAAAATAAAGTTAAACAAGATAAGTATTTGGAGTGTGAATTCAGTAACCAAGGAGATTGGATGGCTGTAATATGTTAAACCACTTAAATATTTTTTGAACACTTTAGAGTTTCAAACTGTGTGAAATAGTTCTAATTTGTAGTGTTTTCTCATTTAAAACACTGTTAAATATAGGCACACATCCTTTTATGAAGAAACAAACTTTCCAGGAATGAATACCAAAGTTATTACCAAATTCTATTTACCTTAACATGGACTTGCTAGATTTTGCAGGTCACTCAGTAGCTGATATCATAACGTTTCATTGTAAGTAACAGCCACATTTCTTATATAGCATGGTTTAGTGGAGATTATCTTTATTTCAGGAATCGTAGGTATGCCAGGTATTGTGAAATGTTATCCCTAATGTGTTCAAGCTAGTCTTAATGGGAGTTGCAGTTAAATGTAATGACTCAAGTTACTGATGTAATTTGAAGATAATTGGTGTCAATTCCTTCTTCTAGAACAACAACAACCTTGAAGCATGTTGTCGAGTCCTTGCACAAGAGAGCAGCAAATATTTATATATGGAGTACCATAGCCCTGATGACAGCAGAATAAACAGGAATCGCCTTTTGCACATTAATCTGGGTATTCATCCCCATGCCAACTACCATGCAGAAGGAGCTCAACTTAATGGTGGTCGTACACTGGTACATAGCTCAAGTGATGGACATATTGATCCTCAGTGCACAGCAGGTAAACAGTTGATATGCTTACTTCAAGAACCACACTCTGCTCCAGCTGTTGTTGCAGCTTCTCCTAATTACAATCCATTTTTCATGAATGACCAGAATAGAAATGCAGCTACTCCTCCTCCGCAGCCATCTCAACAGCCATCTTCCATGCACCCAGGAATGAATACATCTGCTATGCAAGGCCCTCCTCCTCCATATATGCACATACCTCGGTACAGCACAAATCCTATTACTGTTACATTATCACAAAACCTCCCATCTGGACAAACAGTACCCAGAGCTTTACAAATTCTTCCACAGATTCCAAGCAATCTTTATGGGACTCCTGGTTCTATATATATTAGACAGACCTCTCAATGTTCTTCAGGACGACAGACTCCTCAGAATACACAGTGGCATTCATCGCCGCAAGGCCCAGTCCCACATTATACTCCGCGCCCGCTACCTATTTATCCACATCAACAGAACTACCAGCCTTCACAGTATTCTCCTAAACAGCCCCAGATCTCTCAGCCAGCTTATCAATCACCACCTGCTTCTCAATGTCCTTCTCCTTTTGGCTCTCCTCAGCATCAGGTACAGCCTACCCAGTTAGGTCATCAGAGTTCACATGTGTTTATGCCGCCTAGTCCTTCAACTGTTCCTTCCCACCCTTATCAACAAGCATCCCAGGGTTATCAAAAACAGGGTGGTCACTCAATATCTTATCTCCCTTATGGTGGACCTAGTTTATCCAAAGGTTCTATGAACAAGATAGAAATTACAGTTGAGCCACCACAAAGACCTGGGACGGCAATGAATAGAAGTCCTTCACCGATCAGTAATCAACCATCTCAACGAAACCAGCACCAGCTGTATACAGCCACTACTCCACCTTCAGGCTCTCCTTCAAGAGGTATGTCAGGTCAACCAAAACCACCATTTAATGTTAATCCATTATATATTACTTACACACAACCAGTTGGACCTACAGGTGCATTAACACAGTCTCCCCAGGTAATGGTATCTCAGCCAAACTCAACAGTGTTTAAAATCACAGTTGGTCGAGCTCCGACTGAGAATCTTTTAAATTTAGTGGACCAAGAGGAGCATTCTGCAGCACCAGAACCTATTCAGCCCATTTCAGTAATGCCAGGATCTGGAGGAGAAAAAGGAATCCATAAATACCAGAGGAGTTGCAGTTCTGGATCAGATGACTATGCTTATACTCAAGGTAAATTTCTTGAACTGCAAACTGTTTAAAAAATTAAATTGCATTTTATAATCCAGGATTCTACAAGCCTTGTGTCAGGAAATACTGTACTTATTCAGAAGACCAAAGATAACATTTGATCTCTGTGACTGGAAAGATTTTGATGTAAATATAAAATGGAAAATATTAATTGAGATAATAAATATTAGAATTTGACAATAAAGTGGTGCAAATCATCTTATCCCATAAGAGAGCCAGACAACATTTGAGGAAAATGGGAAGTTGTATGGTTTAAAAATAATGAAAGCAAACTCTTTTCTATATAGGTCATTTACAAAATTTTGTGTTGAAATGTTACATGCATCTAAATACAGATTAGATCATTTTTATAGACTCAATTGTAGAGCTGGAAGGGATTCCAGGAGGCCATCAAGTCCAGCACCTTGCATTGAGGCAGGATCAAGAAAATAGATTATCCCTGACAAGGATTGGTTGAACTTTTTAATTCTTAAAAATCTTCAGTGACAGGCATTTCACAATCTTCTTGCAATCCAGAGTTTAAATGTCCTTAGAGTTAGAATTTTTCCCTTGTATATAACCTAAATCTACTGTGCTGCAGTTTTAAACCCATTACTATTTGTACTTTGAATAATATTTGGATAACTTAGAATACTTGTATAAACAAATAGCTATTTGTTTAATAAGCAAAATTTGCTAGCTGCTATGCAGAACCAAAAACGTTTTATCAAGACAAAGCCAAACAAGTCAACAAGATGAATAAATAAAAAGGAGACGAGAGAGGGGTCAGGGTCTAAAATATTAAGGTTGCACAGTAAGAATCCACATCTTGATAAAATAACTGAATTGTTATGCATCATTTAAAGCTTAAAAAAGACTTTATCATGAATATCATGGCAGAAATGCTTTTGGCGGTAGATTTGGATGAAAAAGGGTTAAGAATTTGGCAATCAGGCATGTGTTTCTGTGACTAGGGGCAGCAGATCCTTTGCGAGAGGTCTAATATCAAATGCTAAGTAATTACAAACTATGTAAAAGAATTGGGTGAAAACTTCTACCCAAACATTTGAGCAGAAAATTGCTCTCTTCAGAGTTACTGCTTTTGTAACCTAATTGATATACTTTAACTCATTTGCCCAGAGAAAGTTTAGTTTGGAAGCATTCGAGCCAGTCAGCTATGTTATCTGTCATATTGCTAACTAGCAGCAATTACTCAGTGTACTTCATACTTAGATTTCCCATATTTGATTTTATTCCCATATCATGTTGTTCACATCTTCAACTCTTCCTGCCATATTTTTAGGCCCTCCCATCCTCTCACCTATGTTTAACCTCTTTAACATAGAACTGCTCTGTAGCAGTCTGTTTCTGTTCCATGCACGCAGCATCCCTTGCTGATTCCTGGACTGAAAGCAGGCAGGAATAAACTTTGTGAATGATGGAAAACAGGAGACATAAGAATGTAGCCGTGTTAGTCTAGGGTAGCTGAAACAAAATACAGGACTATGTAGCACTTTAAAGACTAACAAGATGGTTTATTAGATGATGAGCTTTCGTGGGCCAGACCCACTTCCTCAGATCAAATAGTGGAAGAAAATAGTCACAACCATATATACCAAAGGAAACAATTAAAAAAAATGAACACATATGAAAAGGACAAATCACATTTCAGTACAGAAGGAGGATGGGGGGGAGGGAAAGTGAATGTCTGTGGGCTAATGATATTAGAGGTGATAATTAGGGACGCTATCTTTGTAATGGGTAAGATAACTAGATCCTTTGTTAAGACTCAGACACAAAGTGTCAAATTTTAGCATGAATGACAGTTCAGAGGATTCCCTTTCAAGTGCAGATTTAAAAGGTCTTTGTAGTAGGATGCAGGTAGTTAAGTCGTTGAGACAGTGTCCTTTCTGGTTGAAATGGCAAGAAACTGTTTTTTCTTTGTGATCCTGTCTAATATCTGTTTTGTGGGCATTGATCCTTCGGCGAAGTGTCTGAGACGTTTGTCCAATGTACATAGCAGACGGACACTTTCGGCACATGATAGCATAAATTATGCTATCATGTGCTATCAGATGCATCTGACGAAGTGGGTCTTGGCCCACGAACGCTTATGCTCCAATACATCTGTTAGTCTGTAAGGTGCCACAGGATTCCTTGTTGCTTTCACTGTTAACAAGAAACTCATAGGAGTTTAGGAGAAATACTACTGGCTTCATGTGACTAAGACAAAGTAGGTTCTGAGTTGTAAATTACTTGCTAAATAAGGTTTTATTTGCTGTTCAATTTTTTTGCACCCTGTTTTTTCCCCGCCCTCTAGATATTTTTTTCCTCTGGTTCTTGGTTTCCTTCATTTGGGGGGTTCACTTTCTTGGGTTTGTATGATGTTTGGGGCAGAGACCTCTGTCTTTCTATATGTTGTACAATTAGCATTATGGCACTTGGAAAGTGTCTTTGTTACTGTAATATGAATAACAGCAATATAATATTTAGCTTCTTCAAACTCACAAATTCCACTTATGTAGACCAACTCAGATTTAAAGAGGAATATGATTTTGCTAATTTAGAAAATAAATTAATTTGTATGTCTTTTCTACAAGTGTCTACCTTGGTAAAAAAGTTACAAAAAATATAAGCATCATTATTAATTTTTTTCCTTAATGCTATAAATTATATTGTGTGATGCCTATCTTAATAAAATGTAGCATATACAAGAGGGCATTGCATATGTCTGGTATAAAATGGACAACAAATGAGACTGTAAAGCCAAGAATTGGGGTGCCGTGAAGTCTTGCAAGATATTTTTATTGTGTTTTTTTCAATTAATAGCGTAATTATGATATATTAAACTATTCTCTTGACTGAAACATTTTTTTTTATGGAAGGTTGCTGATTTTGTTGTTGTAAAGTTGTTTAATAGGAGATCCTGTTTTCAATCCCTGTATTGCTGATGGCTTCTTAAATTTTAGGGCCCCTACAAAATCCAAAATTGAGTATTTCTGCTTCAGGTAGAAAAGTGGCAGCCAAATAAAAATATTCTTTCTTGTTCCTGGCTCTTCTTCCTCTCTCTAAAATCCTGCTTCAGTAAGAGGTCATGTCTGTACTTAGCTCCCGTATGGAGGTTTTTCCTTTCTTGCATTCAGTATACATTTTTTTCTTACAATCCCTCTCCTCCCTGACCTCCATATAAATGTTATAAAAATGTTAAATTGTAAGTGCTTTGCATGCAGTAGTATTTTGCAGACTTCTGTAGTATGTTCTTGTGCATTTTTTTTCTGTTAGTTTATTTCAGAGTAGAAGTATAGGAATAGCCTCCTGGAAATCCCATTATTTGAACAGTGTGCCCATCTGAATGCCAGCAGCACATCTCTTCCTTTTTCCCACTTCACTCAATTGCCCTTATCAAGAAGGATCTTTCCTCTTTTTCATTTGAGCAAAGGTGAAAACAAATAGATCAGATGGTGCTACAGGTCACTGGTCTGAAGGGTATTGACTACTAGAGGTTGGACCTCCCTGGTCTGGCACCCTCAGGGCCTGACCAGTCCCAGATCAGGGATTTTGCCAGACCCAGAGAGGTAATTTCTGGACCCCTGCCACTGGCCACCTCTGGCCTGCCCACTGGACTCCCAGCTGGCTCCCCCTTCTGCTGACTCTCCTGAATCAATGGGGCAGCCACCGCTGCTGTGGCTCCGTGACTTGCAGTGCAACTGTATGCACTGCGCTGTGGTGCCAGGTCCTGCAAGCCAGGCAGCCATGTGCTGGGGCATTGGGCCCTGCATACTAGGCAGCTGTGCTGCCACACACTGGGTGGCCCCGCCATCAACTCACTGCAGGCAGCCCAGTGCCCTGCTAGCCCCGCAGGGATCTGTGCCGCTAGCCCACCAACCAGAACTCTCTGGTCCGCAACATCCATGCCAGACCTTGGATGTTGCTGGACCAGAGAATCCCGGTTATAAGAGAATTGCAACTTGTATTAGGATTGGACAGAGATTGTGGTAAAGGCTAGAACTTTAACAGGGCTTTTAAAAAAAAGAGCTAGATGGACCTATCCTCCATGAATCTATCAATGGCAATTAACCAGGATGGGTAGGAATGGTGTCCCTAACCTGTTTCTCTGGAAGTAGGGGACAGGGGAGGGATCACGTGAGGATTACTTGTTGTGCTTCCCTCCCTCTGGGGCATCTGGTATTGGCCACTGTTGGCTAGATAGACCTTTGGTCTGACCCAGTATGGCCGTTATCTTTTAGTGTAGGGTCTCTTAATAGGGATTCTCTGTTCTAGTCAGGAGGAGAGAATGGAAGTAGGGGTCAGATCAGATGAGACACAATCAAATGAGAGAGTTGACTCTAACATATCAGGATATGGAAGACAGATAAATAGTGACAAATTATTAAAGTGCTTATACACAAACACTAAAAGTCTAAATAATAAAATGGATAAATTAGAGTACCTCATTTTAAAGGAGGATATTGATATAATAGGCATCACGGAAACTTGGTAGAATGAGGATAATCAATGGGTGACAGTCATATCAGGGTACAAAATATATTGGAAGAACAGAACAGGTTGTGCTGGTAGGGGCATATCATTATACAATACATGAAAGAAATGTAGACTCAAATGAAGTAAAAATCTTAAATGAGCCAAAATGTTCCATAGAATCTCTATGGATAGTCATTCCATGCTCCAATAATAAGACTATAACAATAGGGATATATTACTGACCCATCTGACCAGGACTGTGATAGTCTTTCTAATTTCCCTTAGCATTCATAGTAACTATCAAAATAAATTCAATAGTAGTGGGGCATTTCAACTATCCCCATATTGACTGGGTACATGTCACCTCAGGATGGGATGCAGAGATAAAATTGCTTGATACCTTAAATGACTGCTTCTGGGAGCAGCTAGTTCTGGAACCCACAAGGGAAGAAGCTATTCTTGATTTAGTTCTAAATGGAGTGCAGGATCTGGTTCAAAAAGTAAATGTAATTGGGCTGCTTAGAAATAGTGACTGTAATGTAATAAAATTCAGCGTTCCTGTTGTGGGAAAAATACCTCAGCAGCCCAACACCTAAGGCATTTATTTTCAGAAAGGGAAACTACACAAAAGTGAGGAAGTTAAACAGAAATTAAAAGGTACAGCGACAAAAGTAAAATCCCTGCAAGCTGCATGGAAATTTTTCAAAGACACCATAATAGAGGCCCAACTTACTACGTTTTTAATTTGAGGTATACATTTGAGAGAACCAAAAAAGTGCCAGTGTGGCTTAATGAAGTAAAAGAAGCAGTGACCGATAAAAAGGCATCTTTTAAAAAGTCAAAGTCAAATTCTAGTGAGGAAAATAGAAAGGAGCATAAACTTTGTCAGATTAAGTATAAAAATATAATAAGAAAAGCCAAAAAGGAGTCTGAAGAACAGCTAGCCAAAAACTCAAAGTAATAGCAAAATGTTTAAGTACATCAGAAGCAGGAAGCCGTCTAAAAAACCAGTGGAGCCCTTGGAGGACTGAGATGCTAAAGGAACGCTCATAGATGATAAACTCATTGCGGAGAAACTAAATGAATTCTTTGATTCAATCTTTACAGCTGAAGATATTGGGGAGATTCCCAAAACTGAGCCATTCCTTTTAGGTGACAAATCTGAGGAATTGTGCCAGATTAAGGTGTCATTAGAGGAGGTTTTGGGACAGACTGCTAAACTTAACAGTAACAAGTCACTGGGACCAGATGGCATTCACCCAAGAGTTATGAAAGAACTCCAATGCAAAATTGCAGAACAATTAACTGTGGTTTGTAACCAATAATTCTTTAAGTCAGTGTTTCTTAAACTGGTTTGCCACGAGGCAGTTGGAGGTGTGCTGCAGAGAACAGAATTCAAAATGGCCACCCTTAAAAGGGCAGGCAACCTTTTATTGGGAGGGGAAGGTCGGGGGGGGGGAAGGGCCGGGGGGAAGTTATTGGGGGAGGGGGGAACCTTTTCCCCCAACCTTTTATTTTATTTTATTTTTTTGCTTGGTGTTCCTCATAAAAAAAAATTGTTCGGTGTTCCTCAGTCTTAAAAAGTTTAAGAAACACTGCTTTAAATCATCTTCCATACCTAATGACTGAAAGATAGCTAACGTGCTGCCAATATTTAAAAAGGGCTCTAGAGGTGATTCTGGCAATTACAGACCGGTAAGTCTAACGTCCGTACCGAGCAAATTAGTTGAAACTATAGTAAAGAATAAAATTGTCAGATACCTAGATGAACATAATTTGTTGGGGGAAGTCAATGTGGTTTCTTTGAAGGGAAATCATGCCTTATTAATCTCCTAGACTTCTATGAGGGACTCAACAAATGTGTACAGGGAGGATCCAGTGGATATAGTATACTTAAATTTCCAAAAAGCCTTTGAAAAGGTCTCTCACCAAAGGCTCTTAAGTAAAGTAAGTTATCATTGGATAAGAGGAAAGGTCCTCTCATGGACTGATAACTAGTTAAGACAGGAAACAAAGGATAGGAATAAATGGTAGGTTTTCAGAGTGGAGCGAGGTAACTAGCAGAGTCTTCCAAGGTCTGTCCTGGACCAATCCTATTCAATTTATTTATAAATGATCTAGAGAAAGGAGTAAAGAGTGAGGTGGCAAAATTTACACACGATACCAAACTGCTCGAGATAGTTAAGACCAAAGCAGACTGTGAAGAGCTTTAAAAAGGTCTCACAAAACTAAGTGATCAGGCAGCAAAATGGCAAATAAAATTTAATGTTGACAAATGTGAAGTAATGCATATTGGAAACAAATAATGCCAGGTATACGTACAATATGATGGGGACTAATTTGGCTATAACTACTCGAGAGAGAACTTGGACTCATGGCTAATTCTCTGAAAACATCCACTCAGTGTGCAGTGGCAGTGAAAAAGGAAATAAAATGTTATGAATCATTTAAAAAAGGGATAGACAATAAGACAGAGAATATCTTATTGCCTCTATATAAAATCATGGTATGCCCACATCTTGAATACTGCCTACAGATGTGGTCACCTCATCTAAAAATAGAGATAGGCATTGGAAAAGGTTCAGAAAAGGGCAACAAAATTGATTAGGGGTTTAGAATGGGTCCCATGTGAAGAGAGATAAAAAAGACTTGGATTTTTAATCTTAAAAAAAGAGGATGCTAAGGGGGGATATGATCAAGGTCTATAAAATCATGACTGGTATGGAAAAAATTAAGGAAAAGTTATTTACTTATTCCCATAGTATAAGAATGAGAGGAATTAATAGACAGCAGGCTTTAAACAAAAGGAAGTTTTTCTTCGCTCAGTGCCCAGTCAACCTTTGGAACTCCTTGCCAGAGGATGTGATGAAGACTAGGACTTTAACAGGATTCAAAAGAGAGCTAGATTCGTGGAGGTTAGGTCCATCAATGGCTATTAGCCAGGATGTGTAGGAATAGCGTCCCTAGCCTCTGTTTGTCTGGAAATGGGTGACAGGAGAGGGATCATGTGAGGATTATTTGTTGTAATCCCTCTGGGGCACCTGGTATTTGCCCACTGTCGGCAGACTGGATACTGGGCTAGATAGACCTGTGGTCTGCCCCAGTATGGCTCTTCTTAATTGACATCAGAGTACAATATTGAGGAAAATCCTGCCTTGTCTTTCTTGGAGAAGATGGAATATTTATTCCTAGTTCGTTGGATTACCTTCACCTGTTCAGCAACTGCCTCAGGAACCCATAACTAAAGTCTTGATAGCTTGAGCCTGAACATGACAAATTCAGCCCTGTAAGAAGAATAACGACTAAAAGAGGTTTAGAAGGAATGACTCAACTTTAACTGTAGAATTGAAAGTTCGGAAGATCTTTGTGAGGATTCTCGTAGTTACGGGGTTTCTCCTTGCTTTTTTGTTTTGCCCATGAGCACTGTTGAATTTATAATACTGGATATTGAAGCTTCTGCTGTTCGAAAGGGCTTAAGCAATTTTTAAAAACTAATATTCTCTAATAGAACTGCAAAAAATCAATACTGGCTTGATTTTTTTGACTAATATGTGAGCGCCTTCTGAGAAATCAGATGACTCTATTAAACAGCTACTGAGAATTCATGTTCTGGTGCAGTCTTTCATTCTCTAATTTTTGCCTCTAGTATATATTCTTTTCAGTGCAATAGCAGTATAATTAGATTGCCATTTCATCCTGAGAAGCTCTCTCCTTGTACAGGTGCCTTTGTATTTTTGAGTGGAGAAAGACCATATACAAAAAAGAAGCAGTGACCAAAATGGTAATATGAACTTCAAATTACTGTCTACAATGTTGTTTTTATTCTGGAAGACTTTATAGTTCAGTTGGCATGAAGCGTCTTTACACTGATTTTTGGCTGCATGTTTATGCTCACCTGTTATTTTGGAAAGGTCACTTGTGTATCTTACACGTACATTAAGAGTTCAGTTTTCTAATTAAGTGCATTATATTGACTGTTTCTTCCCTATACTACTATAGCCTTGCTTTTACATCAGCGAGCAAGGATGGAGAGGTTAGCAAAAGAGCTGAAGCTTGAGAAGGAGGAACTAGAACGACTGAAAACTGAAGTTAATAGCATGGAGCACAATCTTATGCAAAGGCGACTTAGAAGAGTAAGCTGTACAACTTCAATCCCAACAGTAAGAAATTTGTATTTGTAAACATCAGGATTCTTTTTTAAACTCCCTTGTTCAATTATTGTTCCTGCAAGCAGCATACAAAGTACACCATATAGCAAGATGTTTTGGAGATTAAACTCTTTGAATTAAACAGTGATTTTCACGCTCTGATTTGTCATCAAGATTAGTTCTTCTGAAATAAACCCATTTGGTACTTAAAGAAACAAATATGGGCTATGCTTTTCTAAACCAGGTGGTTTTAGGAATGCAGGGGTTGGAGCAAGTCAATGTGTGATGACAAAGAGGAGCATGAGGAGAGCTGGGGCAGTGAGGGCATGGGCGCCAGGGCAGGACAGGGCAAGGGGTGCAGGTGTTGAGAGGGATGAGGGAGGCACCAGGAAGATGCAAGAGGTAAGGGAAGGTGTAGATGTCAAGGGATTTTGGGGGTCAAACAGAAGGGCAGACACATGGAGGGGGAAGCACCAGAGGGGAGAGGCAGGACAAGTGGGTACACAATTAGCCAATTATGCACCTCTTAAAATCCTTACCCCGGCAATAGTAACTTTGTATTTTTTAGGCAGCATTAGGAATAAATTAATGGGGGTCTTAGCTAATTTGTGATATGAACAAGAGTGTTTTTATTTAGTATTATTTTTAGATTTTAAGCTGAGAGATATACTGCTGTTGTAGTTAAAGCAATTAAAACATTTCTATTTACCTAAAGTGAACAAACGGATTAGAATGATTAGCTTTAAGGAAGTCGCCTTTTTTTATTTCCTGCTGGAGAGCTTACATAGCGGATTTATAACAATAAAATTTACATGTCAAAGGCACATAAGACCAAGAATGGCCATTTAAATAATTTACATTTACATTTTGTTTTATATTTTAATAGCAAAACTGCAAACTTGCAGTTACTTGGCCTTTCCTCCCTAAGTCCTAAGATTTTCCTAACTATGTGCTGTTAGGTTTTCAGATGACTCTGGTTGAACATGCTGATTTGTCAAATTCTGGAGTACCAATCACACTGACTTTTCAGGAGTTATGTCAGTTTAACTGACAAAATTTGGTTATTGACCTTTTTCAAAGATGCTCAAGGCAGTAAAAATCTGGCCTAAGGGTTATCCATCATGGATTCTGTAACTGGATAATTTTAAAAGCCTAGCAAAATTTTCTTCCTTGTAAGTATTGAAACTAATTTATGTATCTCCCAAATGCCTAATGGAAAACTATATTTTTATCTTTAAATATTCTCCCTAAAATCATGTTGACATTTGCTACAGATTTTTTCAGCTGCATTTACCTATTATTGGCAACCCTGGCTACCCCTGGCAATGGTGGTGGTAGGAACTGTTAACATATGAGACAAATACTGTTATAACTACGTTAGAGTTGATGCTGACTTTTCTACAATTGCTATTTTGGGTCCTTTTTTACTAGCCTGAAGAAATGACCAGATTGAGAAGCCTGAATAGACAACTCCAGATAAATGTTGACTGTACACTGAAAGAAGTTGACCTCCTTCAGTCTAGAGGTATGGACTTGATTGGTTTTGGTAAACTTAAGTTTTAATGTGGTGTAAGTTTTAATGTGTGTACAGGTTGAACCTCCCAAAATCTGGGACTCGCTGGACCAAAGAGCCCCAGGAGTGGGAGCCATCTGATAAAACGTGGGGTTTGCTGAGTCCTGGCTGGGCCAGCAGCAGCTAGGTAGGTGAACACTGGTGTCAGTGGGGTCAGGCAGCTGAAGAGCCTTAGCAGGGGCTTGTGACAGCCGGGAAACCCCAGGAGCCCCCTGGCAGGAGTGGGGCTGGGATGGGCAGGCAGCCCTGACTGGGAAACCCCTGGTAGCAGCAGGACCAGGCCAAGATTCAAGAGCTTCTTTCCACTGGGGAACCCTGGCAGTGGGGCAAGACAGCAGCTGGGTAGTCCTAGCCCCAGCAGGGTAACCCGAGCATCAGTGAGGCTAGGCGGCATCGGGAAACCTCCACCCCAGCTAGGGAACCCTGGTGTCAGTGGGGTGAGGCACCTGGAGAGCTGTTGGCAGTATGACAGGCGGTGGCTGGTGATTCTCAGGAAACACTCAGCAGTAGCTGGGCAGCCTGGGGCTGAGAGAACCCTGAGAAACCTCCAGAGGTAGCGGGGCTGGCGGTGTTAGGTGGCCCTGGCTGGGGAACCCCTGGGGACTCCAGGTGCAATCAGCTGCAACAGGGCGGTGGAGCCTCAGCTGGGCCAGCTTTTGCAGAGCAATGGCAAGGCGGGGAGCCCAGGGAAAGGAGCTGGCAGCAGGGCAGCCAGCAGGAGAGCATTGACATTGGTTGGTCTGGGACGGCTCCAGTCCTGAGGGTGCCGGACCAGGGAGGTCCAACCTGTAGTATCATTTGCTTTTCCCTTTCCTTTCTTATAAAAACTGGGTTTTATTCATATTGAGTCATTACTTCAGAATGAAAAAGACAATCTGTTTTTTTTTTTCTTTGTTATAAGCTGGTTTGGTAGTGTGACTTTATATATAAATATAATTAATTCACACAGTACCAATTTAAGTATTTAGTCGTATAAAGACTTTGTAAAAATAGTTGAAATCTAAAAATCTAATTAAAAAAATGGTCATACCTTGATAATGGTTCCATACTTAATGTTCTTGAGTTGATGTATTCATTCTTGCTGCAAATGTATACTTTTCTGTGATTTGTTATGACACTGCATTTTGGTAAATAAATTGTTACAGTTGTGTTTTTGCTGTTACATCTGCCACTTCCAAACTGAATACACTTCCCATATCCATATTTTGAAGATGCATGGACCAGCTTTACAGAATAAAAAGTTCATAGTGATTATAGTCTAAAAATAAGATATAAATCTTGTCTCATTTCTGTGCTGAGACAAAATAAGTAACACCAGTTAAACAATGTGTCCTAATAAAGCGTTCCTTTGCTTGTCTAACTGCTGAAATTAGAGAGAGAATGAAAAGTGAAGTCTAGAACAACTAGTATCAAGGACCCTGAAAGTGATGCAAGTCAGCCTGGCTTAAAACCAAGAATCCAGTGAATGCAAACAGTTGTAATTAAAAGATCTGTTCAAAAATTCATCAAGAAACTTGTGGTAAATGTATACAAAATTGGTTAAATTGTAAATCTCTGGGGCCTTTAGCCTACAAGGTCTTTCCTTAAAAAAAAAATAAAAAAATTGCATTTTCAGTTCTCTCTAAGCAATCCAACACACTGAAATATTTTGCTGTCCAAATAGAAGCTGCCCTACTGAAAACAAACTAAAGCTGGTGATGTGCAGGGAAAACCTCTGATCCAAAGATTGAAATAAAAGATAATATGAAATAACTATAGAGAGGAAAGCTTTGAGATGACCAGAGCAGAACACTTATAATGAACAAATAAACTACCTCTCAGATGTCTTAACGCTGGTAACAATACCAGAATGACTTGGCATCAGTCCATTTAAAAAAAAAATAGAATTACTACTCTGATTTGACTAAGCTTGATCCTTCAAGTTTCTTTGTAATTTCCTAGATTGGTGAGTTCCCTCTTCAGGAGCTGAAGGTGCTGTACACATAAAGGATGTTTTACACAACACCACTATAATTCATTCAACCTATCTGCCATAGACAACATTTTGGGCCGGATATCTTGAGGCCTGGTAGCAATTCTTTCAGAAAATGTCATGGGACTCTGAATGTCCATGCAGATCAAACAAAATCTTACCCGTTTTTTTAAAACCTAGATCTAGATGGTTCAAACCTGATCCATACAAGTGTGCAAACAGACTAGAATAATATGGAATAAGAATGTGTCCTTCGCTAGAGGACAACTTGTTAACCATTTAGAGCAAACTGTAAAAAATAAATTCCCACAACAATCAGATAACTCATTGTTTGTTTGGGACTGTGATTCTATTTTATAAATGAGTATATTTAAAATAAATTGCATATCAGAACACAGATACTGAAATGGGATTGACAGATGTCAGATTCACAACTAGACATATACACAATTACTCCTAACTGCAAAATTAAACCTGTGCAAGGTCCAGCTGAGAATATAGGAAATGTGGAACGATCAGTGAAACTACAGGATAAATGAAAGTGAAGAACAGAAAAACCATGAGATTCATACTCAGAAGGCTATGAACAGAACTGTTCAGAAATGAATGCTAATATTTACTTAAATCCAAACTGATTTTCATCCACTTTTCTGACAATCTGGAAGCAGCTACCTTATTAAGAGCTTCACCTTCTGGAATGAGAAACAGCAGAGGAAGGCACACAATGTAACTATCTCAAGCCAGTAAAATTTAGGAGACCAGCTGAAAATATATATTAAAAAAAATAGAACACTATGGAGGAGAAATGTTCTCTATACAGCATTGAAAGTTAAACTTCTAGGGAAGATGTTTCTAGAAGCATTTAAGAGGAGCTTTTATTTATTTTCAGAACAGTTAATGTTAGAACTTCAGTATGGTACCCCTAACAAAACAGGCCTATTTTATTTTCATTTCCGTATGGTCAACTGGATCTCAATTCAGATACACAGTTCCTTAATCAGGATATAAGCGACTAGTCAACTAGTTGCTTCCCTCCCCCCCAGCTCCCAACTGTCTCTATCACAAAGAGGCAGCAAGGGGGAAAGAGAGGGCAGGTGCTGGGGGAAGTATCCTGCTGACTATGGGAGGAAGCAGGGGCACAGCAACCACATTCCAACTTTGAAATGTACAGGAGTCCCTGCTGGGGCTCTTTTACATTCAAAGGTAGAATACCATGCTAGTCCTTATCAGCTAATTGAATAGTCAATGGAAATCCCATCAGCTATTCAATTAGTTAATCAAAATGTAACATCCCTATTCCTTAAACAATTGGTTTCCTCATAGGAAATGAGATAGATGGGGTAAAGTGTTATCTTTTTCTTAGATATTTTGGCATATTTAAACATTTTAATTATCACCTGCTATGGGTGGAATACTGCAGCTTTTACTGAAACTTGGTTCTGAAAAATGATGGGGTTACAGGGAGATGTGGCAAGTCTGCTACAGTTTCTTCAATGTACTATTATGCCTTCCAGAATAAATGCAGCAATGGGATAATATGATGAGTCAAAGATATGAAAGATGTAAACATGTAATATGTATAATACGCTTCATACATAAAGGTACTTGTACATATACGTTCTAATAACCTTTCGTAGTATTGTTTATATATATATATATATATCCTGTCGCTAGGTAACTTTGATCCGAAAGCCATGAGCAACTTTTATGATAATATAGAGCCTGGTCCTGTTGTGCCACCAAAGCCATGTAAAAAAGGTGAGTTGCTAAATAAGTGCCAATGAAACCATTCATATTTCATTGTTCAGTAGTTCTCACATTGAGAAGGAGAACTTCCGAGTTACAGTTAAGTGTTAATGCAATTCTTTTCACACACACAATAGTAGCAGGAAATATCTTTCTTCGTACATTTTACAAGCTGTGCAGCTAAAACTCAAACACATTTCTGTTACATGAACAATAACACTGGCACTGGAAACTACTTTCGATCAACGTGTTTAAAATTAATATTAGAAGTTTATGTATAATACTGCTTATTAATAGAAATGAACTTGAAAGTACATATGTTTTTACAGTTAATTAGAAGATAATGTTATTCTGAAAACCAAAATTGTTTAAAAAAAATGTTTGAGTCCTATTTAGGTTTGGATGCCTGTGTTTCAAAAGTGATTGAGACACTTAGGAGCCTAAATCCTGTTGAATGCTTATTTAACAGCATACAGATTTAGGAGCCTTATTTTAGGCCTTTAACTTAGTTGTACTTGAAAGAGGACTAAATGAAGAACATAGGAATATAAGAACGGCCATACTGGGACAGACCACAGGTCCATCTAGCGCAGTATCCTGTCTGCCGATAGTGGCCAATACCAGATGCCCCAGAGGGAGGGATTACAACTGGTAATCCTCATGTGATCCCTCTCCTGTCACCCATTTCCAGACAGAGGTTAGGGACACCATTCTTACCCATCCTGGCTAATAGCCATTGATGGACCTAATCTCCATGTATCTATCTAGCACTTTTTTTGAACCCTGTTAAAGTTCTAGCCTTCACTGCATCCTCTGGAAAGGAGTTCCACAGATTGACTGTGAACTGAGTGAAGAAAAACTTCTTTTTGTTTGTTTTAAATTCATTTGGTGACCCTTAATTCTTTTATTGTGGGAATAAATAAATATATAAATTGAAACTAGGTACCTTTTTCAGGCTGACTGCTCTGGTCTGGAACCCTCAGGATCTGACAGGTCCCAAATGGAATTTGCCAGACCAGAGGTGGTGGTCTGCTACTCGCTCCGCAGACCACTTTCTCTCCCTCCTGCTGGCCTCAGCTGCCCTCCCTTCCAGCTGGGCTGCCATGCTGCTGCAGCCCCGGCAACCCAGACTGCCCCCGGACCCAGTCCCACTATCAGGGCTGCCATGGCTGCATCTCCAACCCTGGTCCTGCTAGCATGGCTGTCATGACTGCCATGTCCCCAGCTCTGCTACTGGGGCTGCTGAGGCTCCTGCTGTGCTACCAGGGCTCTTGCTCTAGTCCCAGCCCCAGTCCTGCTGGGCTTTGAGCCGCTCGCCCTTTTTCAATGGGGCACGCTCCCATCCAAAACTCTCTGGTCCAGGAACACCTGTGGTCCTGCCAGACCACTGATGTTGCCACATGAGGTGTCCCAGTTTTTGGAGGTTCAACCTGTAGTTTGCGTGAAGTGTCTCCATACTGGAGAATTACTGCTCGGCATGCTAGTACATGTGAAAAAAATCAAAACTCTTTTTAAGAGACAAAATATACATTTAGGAGCCTAACTTCAGGTATCCATATAAGAACTCTGGGGACTTGTAGAAAAAACCTTAGTACAGGCAGTCCCCGAGTTACGCGGATCCGACTTATGTCGGATCCGGACTTACGAATGGGGCTTTCTCACCCCAGAGCTCGCAGGCAACGGGACCGCCCAGAGCACAGCGGTCCCGCCACCTCGACCTCCGGGGTGAGAGAA